TATATATATTTATTTATTACACACTATATAATATGTAATGTAATATAAAATAAATATTCTGATTTTGCACATTATTCTGTCCTGGCACCAAAGGGTTGACGCATTAAGCACGATCAGAGAAGGACAATTACTCAGCAAACTTACAGAGCAGGAAGTCCTGTGATTTATTCAATCTCTGTTCCACAAACAAAAAAAGACAATCATCTCTCAAAATAAACAGGCACAATATATGCTTGTCTTTAGCTGTATTTGTGCAATGTCTGGACCCACAGCAATCCCTTCCACCACATAACTCAGGGCAGACTTGGTAAAAGCGTTCATACTATTTTTTGCAAAGAAATAACATTAAAAAGGGACCAGCAGTCTACTGCACATCCATTTTTCAACATCTCCTCAATGATAAATAATTTTGACCTACATGGCTCCATGTCGTCACCCAAGTTTTTCAAATTGCATACATATAAAAGACATGAATGATTAGCCAAATGGAAAGATTGTGCACAAATTTGTGGGACAGATTTCTTTGTATTCAAACTGGTATAAAACAGCGCAACAATATATATGAACAGTTGATGCTGAAATGAAGAGGGAGGTGTCCCTTCACTTTCTGCTTTGAGGACAAAACACAAGAGAAAGGAAATCTCACCAGTCATTGGAAATCCCCTCTTACATAGTTGTCACTGGGACAGCTGTACTCATTGGAATATGTTTTTAGCTTGGGATATACTCAACCACACAAATTCATACCATCTTGTGTGGCAAATGGCTAATACAGCATATGGTGCATTGTATAGAACCAAGTGTTAAAATATTCCCCCTCAATGACCAATTACAATGATTGTGAGATTACTATTGGTGATTTCTTAATGGCACAGGCTATGTGACAGAGGAGACAGATATGGATACAGAATAGAATATGCCTATCAAATACCAGTTAGTCATTTAAAGCATGCATTTTTCTAAAAAGCAAAATGTAAAATACTTACTGTTGGAAACTCTTATATTCCGCTTGCGTCCAACTCTATCTAGACCAATTGGTGTGCTTTGTGAAAAGGCAAATGGTCGCAATCGAGCAGAGACTGCCTTGTATGGTGGCACTTTATGGGACGGTACAGGAGGCCTTGGTACTGGCTACAAATGGGACAGAGAGAGCAATATATTCATCAATACTGCATAAATAACTGCAAAACCTGCCTAAACTGTTCTATAGTACAAAACATATAAAACTCTGAACAAAGACACCAATTCTTAACTTTGTAAAGCTAACCAAACACTATGGATACGAATCTAGTATTCGGTCTGCTAAGTTCTTCTGGTACGTCCAAGTATTTGCAGGGGCTCTGACGGCTGGTAACCAAGTAAAAATAATAGTAGGCATATTACTGTCTCTGCTATGGGGTAACGCTTAATTTTCTCCTACACGTTTCTGCTAATGATATGGGGTGAGGCTTGGTCATCATTATAGAGTATAATGGCTTTCAAAACATCTTTAAAACTTCATTAGTTGGAAAAAAAATAAAAAAAAGATCAGAGCCCATTTAACCTACCGACCTACTATTCTATTACCTACCTCCTTTGCAGTAGATTGCTTTTTTTCCCAACACTACGGATGCTATCTCAAAAGTCAGCTTAAGGCCTCATTACTGCCGCATAACACAATGCGCACAGCGTTTTTCCGCATATGCAAATAAATGGCTGTATACACATAGCTGCGTTTTTTGCGCTGCGTAAAGATACTCAAAAAAATGAAACCAAGATCTGTCCGGGCTCGGAATGTCTGCGTATTTTGCATGTGAGCGTGCGTACAAGGCAATAAAGTTGCTATTAAAAATGATGCATTCTGGGATTGCATACGGTTCATGCATATATGTGACTATACGCATTTACAAATATGCGTACAATTTTGTTCTTGCGTTGTGTGTGAATGAGGCCTTAGTGTGTAATGCTACCTTCTTCACACGTCTGATCATGTAAGTAAGGCTAGTCACGCATTTGGAATATTAAAGCAGAACATCAGCCTCACCTGTTTCTGTCCTAGCTGCTTGGTGAAAAACTGTGTTGCTCTTTAATTTTCTCCCCCTTCCCGCGGTGTGCCTCCAATTGTTTAATGAAAAACAATTGGAGGCACATCGTGGGAAAGGGGTCTGGAGGCACACTTGCTGCCTGCAGACACCTAGTCTTCCACAAGACTCGCTGACTGTCTTATACATGCCCTCTTGGCTTCAGTAGGTGTCAATATGGGATGTCAATAACTGCTGCAGTGTCCTGCGTGGTGCATAGAACTACTACAGAGCCAGTTTCAGCTGGATGAAAAATATTTTTTTTCCAAAGTATCCCTTCTGTGGACACTGAATCAAGGAACTGCATCTAACCCCTAGACTTCTTTATCAACCCTTCTCTTGAAAAAGGAGAAAGGTAAGGCCTTACAATATCAGATGTGTCAATATTTGGAGACAGTTGGGGGGGGAACACGTTAAGGTACATTATTTGTGTATAAACTTAGTTCATGAATATCTTCTCTAAAGTGATAAGTACCTATTATTTGCTTTGCAAAACACTAAAGAAGGCATCACAAAATGAATATGACCATATACAAAAAGCACACAAGGATTTGCCAGGATATACAAGACTGTCAATTACCATGTTAAGAGATGCATGCAGTTAAAATCACTAAAATGAGACACAAAATTAAGTTAAAGAAAGACATACATAAGAAGAATGATTTTTTATATCTGTTTTGTATAATTTTCAGTATCCTCTAGATGGATTATTGGATTCCATTTTTCAGGGTCATAAACTTTTTGTTCTCAAAAGAGATTAGCCTCTTTTTATTGGTAACAAGAAGTATAGTTTTGAGGAAGTTGAATTTGTCTGGGGTCATTAAATGAGAATTCCTGCTAAATATAAATATGCACATCTGCCGAGCTAACACAGTTCCAGATTGCCTTATTATATATGACCAGAAATGGCCTTTTTCTCAGGAACCAAGTATATACACACTTGAAGAGGAGATAAGTCACAGCACATGTGTTGCCTATTAAATGTACAACCAAATTATGAACTGCCTCCCATATTCTTTATATTTGATCTGAAACTCACCCTTAATATATTAGTGCAAATGGCTTTTAACCTTTTGATAAATAGTTCATGCAGATCACAACCCCCAAGATCAAGGAGTTCTATAGATCAAAATCTGATATTTATAGATGATTATGGAAACAGAAGTTAGTCAGGAAAGGCAGAAGTTAATTCTAAAGCATGCATGCTTTTTTTTTTTAAATGAACAGAAATTAAATTGAGGTTGAAGTTAGAGATTGCCACTGAAGATGATAGAGGAGCTGGAAAGTCTTTCATGTCCTAGAGAGGGCATGCTCCAAGTCTTACTTGTTGAAGCAAATGTCCATTTTCTTCATCTTCGCTGGTTCCATAAAAGTTGACCCCACCAATCACAGAGATGGGCCTTCTTTTACAATTTGTGTGGAACTCAGCTTTAGCCTTATGAACCTTTGGCTCTTCACTAAAAGACCTTGAAGGAGAATTACGGTTAATGTTGCTATTTTCTTGACAGTCCATAGGAACAGAGTCTTCTGGGATGGAGAAACTACGACTGGCCACCTGGCCATAGTCTGAAAGTGGCCTTTGCCGGCACCGGCTTTTTCCTGACGTCCGTTTCCGAGAAGCCACATTCTGGGATTCTGTCTTTTCCTCATCATGTGATGGAGATGTTGTCCAGGAATTTTCTGTAGTAACCTTTTTAAAAGGTGAATAATGCAAGTGAAGTGACCTGGTGCATGTTAATTTTATTAAAACAAATTAAAAATATTCTCAGAAAAGGGTCCTCTCAAATATTTAGGAAAAGGGTCCCTGTATAAACACTTGTTTTGTAAAAAACTCTAGTAGGGCTAAAAGGTAAGACTAATGCCAGTCCCAGTACAATGCAGATCTAGCTGGAATCACGGAGTTCCCAACTTTGTTTTGTACACAAATCACAAAATACTAAATGAAAGATGCAATCAGTCATCTGTAGGACACCCCACACCAAGAGATTTTTTTTTCAACATCCAAAATCACTTTTGCTTTGCCTTTATGAAACCTGGTACATACAGATTTACAGAAACGTACAACCATTTTAACAAAGACATACTGTTTACAAGCATGGTTATGCAGTAAACAGTTTTGGATGCCTCACCAGCACAATGTCACATGAGAGGAAGGGAAATGAGTCAAATGCTTCCCATACACCTGAAGTACTGGGTATTTTTCTTTGTGTTTGGCAGCTGAATGGGATAAGTGTGGAGCAAATAGTAAGCATGTATGTGCTGCTGGTGGGATTTGCCCCGCATAAACAAAAATGGATATAGATAACATAGGTTCCTCTTTAAAAATTGCATAATGGGAAAAAATAATCCTCCAGTTTGAAGGTTTCAATATAGGTCTTTAAAAGGAAAGCTTGACATGTGTTACTGAAGACTGCAGAGCACCCCCAAATGCTGTTTGAAAGATTGTACTGAACCAAACAACTCACATGGCCATGTGCATGAGGAGTAGCTTTCAACTGCACCAGAACAAATACCACATGCATGCTAGTCATGGGCCACATTTATCATCGAATTGCTTCTTCTTGTTGGCCGCCCCTATACTTCCCCAACTAGAGAGGTCTTGTGAGCACAGGCAAGTTAAAATGGAAAGACCTTGCACCCATATGAGCACTCTCAAGGAAACCAACTGGGAACTGACAACTACAATATCCAGAATTTGAACTTTGATTTATTGTGAAACCTTGACTTCTGCCCAAAGCACTATTAGCACATACCTATATTTTGTAGAGCTTTGACTGCAAACATTGAAGTGTCTCCTAAATTAACTCAAGAAAATACAAAAACTGGCATCAGAACGCACAGAAAAAACACATTTATTTTTTAAATTCTTAATTTAATTTTAAACTGCATTCTGTGTACCAGGCTGTTTCCTTCTGCAAAGCCTGGTCATATGGTAAGGCAAACTCGCATAACTCCCTGTTACAAAGTCTGAAAATATGCAGGTCAGTCCCAAGGTCTCACCTGTGAGCATCTGAAAATATTGTGGCATGTTTCTTAAGATTTCTTCTTGCCCTCATTATAGACCCTTCCCACCATAAACACGATTGATGGTGTCCAATGACCATGTTAACTTCAGGCATACCTCTAAGTAGAGGAAATAAGGGGTATAGGAGGAGGGAAGGATTTTGTTGGAATCTTTTGAATATTTTTTTATGTTTAAATATAACAAGTCATGATTACAATTATGCAGGAATCTGAAAAGTTAGTCTTTATTATAAATTATGCAGCATTCCTAATGAAAGATGAATATTTTTCAGGCTGCATACTAGCTTTTACTAATAACATCAGACTGCTTTTTCTGAAGTGTGCTGAAGGAGATTTAAAACACAATATAAACAAGCTGTTCCACCTCATGCACTACTAGTTGGCCTCTGTGTGACAATTTCTCATAGACTGCAATGCCCATGGCATTTATTTTCTCTACTTCTGTGAATATGTTAACAATAGCAATTGCAAGGATAAAAAGTATAGGAGCTCGGTGACAGCTGGTATTGAGTTTAAGTGTTTAAAAAAAAAAAAAAAACAGTAACACACACACACACACACACCCACTGTCCTTAATGTTAACCGATTATACTTTGCCTATACAGCCTCTTTAATTACCTTGCCAACATCACTTATAAACATGACAATGTATTAATCCATGTCCCATAAATCGTGCATTAAAGAAAAAAATGAAAATAATAGTACAATTAAAAGAGAAAACAAAAAAACAAGTGATAGGATAAAAAAAAAATAAGAAAAATCTCATTATAGAACAGTTGACAAATGTTTACTAAAGACCTAAGAAAGAGAACAGTAAATCAGTCCTATTGCTTCCTACCTCTTTCCCAGAAACAGGTAAGGGGGTCCCACAAACACACTGAAACAAAAGACAGCTCATTGTCGGCATTTCCACACAACAAAAACAGAGATTTTCCACGGATCTGCACTATACTGTTTGCTCGCTGTGTTTGCAGGTGAACCTTGTACCTTTCACAGCACTGCAAACCAACGTCAGCTGTTAACTCGCCAAATGTCAGCTACAGGGAAAGACTGATCATAAAGAAAAAAGAAGATCTTAAACATGCAGATTTTTTCCCTACTATACAAGTCAGAATGAATTTATGTTGAATTAAAGGAAAAGTAAACTGTATTTTTGGTGAGCACATACTAGGTATACAGGTGAAACTCGAATAATTAGAATATCGTGCAAAGTTCATTTATTTCACTAATGCAACTTAAAAGGTGAAACCAATATATGAGATAGACTCATTACATGCAAAGCAAGATAAGTCAAGCAGTGATTTGTCATAATTGTGATGATTATGGCTTACAGCTCATGAAAACCCCAAGAACCCCAAATCCACAACCCCAAAAAAGTAGATTATTACATGCAATCAATAAAACAAGGATTGTACATAGAACAATATCGGACCTCTGAAAAGTACAAGCATGCATATGTACTCAGTACTTGGTTTGGGCCCCTTTTGCAGCACTTACTGCAATTACTTTTGCACGATATTCTAATTATTCGAGTTTCACCTGTATACACAGATATTGTGGCCATGTTTACCCTACAGTAATTATTGATATGGCATTCACATTTTTACACTGATTATATAAAGTATTATTTATAGGGAGGCACCGAAAATGGAATTTGTAAGGCCAAAGCCGAAAATAAGGTTTGTTTTTTCCAAACTTTTAAAATCATTTTTTAATTATTCTATTTTTATTTCTTTGTATTTTTTTTTACTTTACTTCTGGGGGGCTCTAAGAAAATATCAGGGATCTAAACAGACCCCTGATATTTCCCTTTTAAAATAGAAAAAGAGATTGAGGGTACAGACTCCTCAATCTCTTATTCTACAGCTCCTGTTGTAATTGAACAGGAAGACTCTATACCGGAGTGTTTCTGTTCATTCATACATTGCGGATATTGTATTCTTACTATTCTTAGGACGCCAACAATCATGAATGAACAGGAAGTAATGTAGATCAATTCCCATTCATTCATAACTGGGACACAGTAAAACACACAATGTCCAGTTATTTACAAGCACTCACCGTTCAGCTGATGAGTGTTTTTATACTGCTTTCCATCCTGAATCGGCTGTCACAGGAGGCTGAGAGGGCAGTGGGGGAGGAGCGCTCTGCCTCCTGTGACAGATCACAGCACTCTCCTCCACTCACCATTCTCCATCCTGACACAGGAGGTGGAGCCTGGAGGTGCAGGAGGAGAGCTCCGCCTACTGTAACGATGACAGCTGTCACCACTCCGCTCGGCATCCTGACCGCTCTCGCCGCCCGCTTGGCCTCCTGAAAGTTTCTCTCCTCCCCGCTGGACACTGGCAACTGCATCAGAAGGCAAAGAGACCGGCTCCCAGCAGGGAAGAAGAGAAGCTATGGATACAATTCATTTTCGGCCACATTTTCAGCCGTCAGGGTACTTTCAGCAATTTGCCAAAAGTGCAATTGTCAGCCGAAATGTTTCGGTGGCCGAAATTTTGCTGCATCCCTAATTATTGATAAATAAAATAATAAATTAAATATTGAAAGCTATAGGTCATAAACAAACTGGCAAACTTTATTTGTTCAGTAACAAGATAAAAGCCATCATCCTTGCTGACGCATTTTGGCCAACCCCGGCCCTAAATATAGTTTGGCACAGGTAGGTTTGGTCACCTATACACACCCGCAACCAGGTAAAAACTGGGACAGAGTTTCATCAACACACACATAAAAACAATGGAAGCAGGGCAAAAGACATATAATAGAAATAATAAGTAGCTCTAAAAGACAACCTATATGTAAATCAAAATACGGGAAGACAGCAGAGCACTAAATGTGGAGGTCCACATCCTATCTAAAATTCCAGCCATGTGGCAAATTACTGTGCAGTTTGATAATCCAGAAAGCCTCCAAACAGAGCAGGAGGCAATGCAAATTCCCTGCCCTCACTTTACATGTCATTAGCATTAAATGAAAAAGAACTCATAGCTTCGTAATCTACAGACCACACCACGCAAAATAGTGCTTTGCTAGCCTCACCCTAAGACAGTTGTAAACCAATTAATCTGAAATTTAGGAGCCAGTCTTCCCAATCCAGGAGCCATATCCATTGACAACAATTAGGCGCCAGCTATAATTTTAGGGAAGCAAGCACTGGCTACCTGGCTCTGGGATTGGTCCAGCCTTGACCCCAAGTGGTCTCCCACCAACATCTTGAACATGACATTCCAAACATGCAATCAAATAAACCACATCCATGGTATTACAATCCACAAACTGAAGGGAAAGGAAGGATTAATTGGTAAACAACTGAACTAATATACTGAATCATATTAGTTTTTTGGTGCACCTTACAATAACGGCATATATTCACATGTGAACAAATCTTCTAAATCCAACAAAGTTCCGAATTGTCCGACTAAAAATACTTAAAAAAAAGAGAAGCCTAAGTGTAGGGGGCTTTTCTACCAATAAACCTACAGCCACCTAGTAACACCTCTAGAATAGGAGACCACTTAGGCTTAGGATAGCAAAGAACTACTGTGCTGGTTAATGTGCCACAGTTTCCTGACAGTCTAATGTGGCCAAACAATTCTTCTGCACATAAAAAAGAGGTATGAGGCTTTTTATTAAATTGTATTTCATTCTATTGGAAAGGTA